AACTGTGAAGCTTTCGTTGTCCTTTTAGACAGCATCTTCAGGTCAGGTTTTCAGTATGAAATGTACATTTATAAATTCTACGTGAATGATAATATAATTGTCTATCCTAACGACCTTGGCTGTGATTGGCTGTTAGCTTACATCTTTATTGATCGTTTTTATTGACTAGGAATTTGAAATTCTTTGTTATGCGATTTATTTTTTATTAGTCAGTAAATTTGATCTATGGTAATGTGTCTGTTAATCGTGGATTGATCTGTGTAGAAGGGTTTCAAGAAATTCCCTGGCATTATTGGTGTTTCCTCTTTTTAAAAATTCCATATTTTCCCAGTCAAATTAGTGTCTGTAATTGTCTACATGCATTGATATAAAGGAATACATGGGCGTTTTGAAGATTAGCTTGTGTTCTCGAAATTGGAGTCGAAAGGGACTTTCAATACAGTGCTGGTCACAATTCATGCAAATCATTTTTCAGATGGTGTTAATATTTTCTTCATTTGCCTTTGGGCTTTGTTTGACCAACCTAGTACATAGTATGGAGTGCCTGTTCTGGTTTGTGTGCGATATCTTCTTGCTGGCAGCCTGCTCGAAACTTAGGCTGCCGAAAACCACCATCGTTGTACTGTATATAATTTATTTTGTTCACTTCGTTTTAATCCATTAAAATATGAACCCTTGTGGTACTATACTGGTAAGAAACTTGGTCAGCTTGTCACGGAAAGCATCTTCAACAGACCAGTGTAGACTTTTATCAACAGCTGCCCCTTTCGTTGGCTGGCTTCATACTGAAGAACAAATGGCCGGCTAACTGGTCAGAAAGAATTAGTAACAAGAAACTCTGACTGGGAACAAACCAACCAACCAAGAGCTGATCACTCAAGAAATATGTATCAGAAAGTGGAGATGGATTGATGGGACATGCGTTGAGTAGGCCATCGAATGACATCGGGCAGTACAGGCCATCATTCGAGTGGAATCCAAAATGGAAAGCGACGAATGGGTCGTCAGTGTGAGCATGACATTGAAGAAATCGTGTGGCGAGTATGAGGAGATGAGAAATTATGGGCAATCGTGTGGCTAGTTAGCTGAAGAGGAGATGTGTTGTTGAAGCTTTATGTTCCACTCGGAACCCAAGGGAATAGTAATAATATAATAATGGTATCATTTACTTTGGGGAGTATATAAAATATTTACAACCTGCTGATTCCAAAGTTTCTGCCAAACTTGTGAAAAAAGCATAACTATGTGTGTCAACATATCCCAATACTTGGGATAACTATCCTTGAGTTATGTCCTTGGGTATTAAATTTTTAAAATAGACTTTCAGCCAAATGTAGTACAAAGAAGAAATATCAAAATGAATCGGTTCACGTTTCAGGTCAGACAGCAATGTGTGTAGCGCTATCTACTGTCAGTTAGTTTTTTGCTTGAAGATCTTGGACGTAAAAGAAATTGTACACAATAAACTCCACTGAAAACTTTATACATTACGTAAACACAGTCCTGAAAAAAAAGCAATTAATGTTATCAGATCTATTCCGAATGATTGTAGTATTCTAACTGATACTTCTTTATATACAGTAGGATAAATTTCGATATAATTATGTTCTTTGATTGAATTAAATGTGATTTTGTCATTGTTCTGCAGTGTTTACTGACAAAAACTACTTAGCAAACAATAATACTTCACTAACTGATGAAAGTATCGAATTCGCCAATTTAGATGAAGGGAAGTTTTCGGTGAATCATTAGCAGTGGCAAAAAACTTCATCTATGGGATAGTTCACATGAAAGCTTGTTTTCTGTCATGTTATTTACAAATAAGTGTAGCTTATAATTTATGCTTACTATCTAGCAAAGGGAGAACGCAAGTGTGTGAAATGCAGTTCGGCAACAGAGCATCAGGTGAACTCAAGACATTCAGCTTCATTTTGAATATTCCTTCAAAGTCATATACAAGATTCGATGAAATTTCTCAAAAGGTGTTAGATCATGACGCTTGTCTGGGCACAACTGAGGCACCAGGGATCCAAAAGAAGTACGTGCAACCTTTGTCTCTGATGCGGCCACAATAAGGTTACTTCTCTCAATAGAGATTTTCGTATTACTCCTCTTATCCGAAATTCCTGCTTACTCCTGTTATTACTACATTTTTAAAATCCTTAATTGCACAGAAAGTCAGGTTTATTAATAATCATGACTTTACTATGTCTACAATGTGAAACCCATTCCGCGGTTTATTTCTGATATTATTAAATTCTAATTCCTATTTGTAATCTTGTTAATTTGCCTTCTGACCGGAAAAAGTTCTTCAACTTTCTCATCCATTTACTATAAATACACGAATGTACAGCTGTCTAGTTGATGACTACATCGAAAAGCAGATTCCGTCCACCGCAAATGTCTTTTTAATATTTCCTATGATATAATGGGTATAATACATCATTTTGTTTGAATTAAAGATTAGTTTTCATAGATTGACAAAGTAAAATTTACACTCAAGTGTCGGTTTGTGGGCGTATGATTTGATTGGTCACAGGATTTCATCATGAGCTAACGTCGGTTAGACAGCCATTGGAAGCCAGCAGGGAGTACTGGACAGCTAGCTGTTTCGTCCTAGTTTGGAACTATTCATCATCACCCACCAATCACTGGGGTTCAAATCCAGAACCTTCCGGTTACACGGTGAGCTCGTAGACCATTAAGCCAATGGGAGGAAAAAGCTGTCCAGTACTCCAAGATATTCCAATGGTTCTCTAACCAATATTAGCTCATATTGAGATAATTTAGAAGTGATGTCTTCACAATGTCCATTAGATGCGAACAAGCAGTCTACAAATGTGCACACTTTTTAACTAATTGAGTACAGGGACCCACCAAAAATCTGTAATAAATTTCAATGCTCAGCGTTTTTAAGCAAATTTTGAACTAGTTTTCTAGCACTGTGTTTCCAGTTTACCTTGTCAGTATAGCTGCCTAACGGCACTGTGAAGGTAATCTTGAGTTCTTGATGTTATTATCGTTACTGAATAGAACCACACACGGGTTTATCGACGGATACTCGTCCTTTTGTTTTGTTTTTTTCGAGAGTGTTGTGACTGTGTTTGTGTGTGCGTGTCTCAAGGAAGTTTCGAACAGCTGTGTAGTAGGATTCAGGGATCGAACATAAGAATTTAACCAAGGTTAGAATGATTGATCCCAGCCGCGAAGATAAGTATTTTAGAAAAAATTCAGCAATAGCACTGCATGCATTAACACAAAATAGAGTGGGTGGGACAGAGTCGAAATTCTAAAAAGTAATATAGGTGTAGGTGGAGAGAGATAGGCGTTGATCACTGAATTCTAACTGGTTCATCGAGTCTACACCCAACACATCACATGCAATAGAAGTGACTCAACTCAAATACCAAAGATATGAAAGATGTTATTGCCACCATTCAAATCAGAGGAGGATAATAAATAATGTTAAAATGTATTCAATTCAATTCACATCATAACATTCTAACAAGTTACTTATTTATTTTACTATGAAAACATCTTATTTCCCATCTTATTGTATTTTATTGATAACACTAATATTGCTATTTCCGAATGTACTTTATCTAATATTGATTTTATTCAAATGTGTAATCATTAATTTTTACTCTTGTATATAAATGAAGCAAGAAAGTTGTGTGAGTAGTGCCTTGATATGATTATGAGTGGCAATGATAAATTGTGCTCGAAACGTGGTCGCACCAGTAAGTATCACTGTACAACAACACTGTGTGTGTGTGTGTGATTTTATCAAAATAAAATTTTATCCATAATGGAGTTATACTGTCTACCACAGTGGCCAAGGATCAGTTCTCTCTTATTTCAGACTACAACGAGTCAGTTTCAGTCGTTACAGATAAACATTAATTACTAGTATGTACAACAATTAGGCGATAATTTTCTTTGATTGCCCACTAGTCAGTAACTAGTGTAATGTGTCTTGTCCTAACTTCGCTGCAGACTGAATTCTCTTAGTGCACTGCAAGCTTGACTGATAGAATTCAGTCTGCAGCGAAGTTAGGACTAGACACATCACACTAGTTACTAGTGTCTTATCAAAATATCCAATACAGTCCTACAGGAGGTCAATCGCCAAGCCTGAATAGCTCAGTGGTAACGTCTCTGACTGCAGGCGGCATTGGGTGAAGCGGGTTCGAATCTCAGAAGGGACATGAGTTATTTCAAGGTTCGAGATACGCCTTGCTGACGAGTGAGTGCCGATTAGCACGAAACCTAGGTCAGGTAGGGCTTCCTATGGACAATTGCCTCCAATCATCTAATACCAACAATTAGGCAATAAAGATTGATCTTGAATTAAAATTAACTTTTGAAAATAATAATTTAGCCAGTGAAGTTTATACTCTTGATTATTTTGAGTTTCGAGTGAAACATAGGGCTTCAGCACCACATCTACACTTTGTCCTCTTCTCTGCTGTCCTCTTAAACTGGCCGCACGATTCCCTCAACGCCCGGGCTGATAATCTGTCATCTCATCACCACACAGTTTATTGCTTGTCACCCTCAGACAGTTTCATTCCTTTACGTTCCCAAGTGGAACATAGAGTTTCAAGCTCGAAACTTGAAGTTTCGGTAGCAGTGGTGTTTATTTTTTACGAGATGGGGTTGTTAGTCTCATTCTCAACCTTCCCTCTTTACTAGTCTTATTGCTGGCTTAACGAGGTAACTGAGTGAGTCGGCCATGGATCCAACTCCGGACCACCTGAGCGGTTGGTGAGCACTCTACCTCTCTGCCACCTACGCACGACAGTTAGCTCCACTCCAGTGCGTGATATCACCCAATGGTCTCCCCAATGTCTTATCTGATGCATTTCCATTATCTTATGCATATTTATTGAACAGTAAGTCCTCTTGATAATATTAATATTTATCATTATTTTTACATATTACACAAGCTAATATTCTTAGTTATTAAATAGCCACTATTTTTTATTTTGTAACTGCAGGGGGCGACTTCAGCCGACTAATATACCAACACCAAATTCATGTACACCATTCATGACGACACGTAGTCATGATAGATTAGTTGGAAATTATTTAAAAATACAATGATTACAGCAATATTAATAACATTGTGATTACCAAATATATATATATATATATATACATGAGTGTATAAACTGAAAGTTGAATTTCAGCAGGCTCTAATTGTATTTCATCTTTGTGTTTTGAAAAACTGAAACCAAATAAAAGTATGTACACTTATACTGATAACTTGGCTGTTCTTTTCTATTTTTTGGCCTTTTAATATAGTTGTTTGCACAGAATAAGTGATCAAAGATAGAGTAAATTGTATATATATATATATATATATATATATTGAATATTCTCATAATTTATTCAGAACAAAATATTTAGAGCGAACAATTGTGGTTTCAATAAATTCTTCTTCAGGCTCTACAATTATAAATCCATTAATTTAAGCATACAATAGCCAGCCAGCCAGTAAAGGCAATTTAGAATCATATCAGAAAGTGTATTGTGGAACAAGTATGAGATGGGATGAAACAATAGTCATACAGTTTTTAATATGCATGGTCAATGAGAACATGGGACAAAATGAGATGAAGTAATTTAATTTAATGATGTGTTTGCATATATATAAATATAGTCAACAGAAAATACAGGTTTCGAGAGTGAGTGTAATCAGGGTGTGAAACAATATGAGAATAAACCAACCAATGGGGCGGTCTAGACATAAGTTCAAGGTTGAAAATAACAACAATAAGAATGACTGTAAAGTAATAACGAGGATATGGTGTAAAATTACAAGCACTATTGGTGAATGATTGTCAAATAATAATAATAATAATAATAATAATAAAAATGAATATAATGAAGTGGAATGAACAGGATTTTGTAAATACGATAGCAAGTTAGAAAAGCACTACTTAAACCTGAGGTAATAAAATCATAAGAAAGATCATGAAATCATAAAAGTCGAAAGTGAACGTTTGTCAGCGAAACAGAGGAACAGAAGAAGAAAAGAAAATTGTGAAAGGAATTTATGGAGTTAGTGTTCATGGAGGATTTTTGGCTTTATTGTAGGCCAGGGTAAACATAGAGGTTGAACATACTTCTTCTGTATGCAGAGGGATGGTCTTCTGGTATTAATTGCAACCGCTTCAGCTACTGATAGAAGGCGTAGTCGAGCTCCTCTAGATAAACTATATATATCCTAAGCATAAGATGTATAGTAATATCAGTAGTAATACATAGCCAACACAAATGCGCAGAACTGCATACTACTCATTTAGATGAGTAGCTGTATATGCCAGTTAGTCAGACAGAACAGATTTTGATATAGTTGTTTTCTCTGAGCTAGCTGGATGGTTTATTTGCGAAGCTTTCATTGCTCCCTACTAAACAACATCTTCAGCGCATACTTCAATTTGATGAGATGAGCGAAACAACTAGTCATGTTCAAGGTCACCGGGAGAGATGACTAATGGTGAACTCGTGGAGAGAAATCTACAAGCTCACTTTGAATTGAAGTACTGACTTAAGATGTCGTCTGGTAGGGTGATGAGAGCTTAGCAAATAAACCATCTAACTCAGAGAACACAACTACATAAAAAATCATCCACCTGAGATATAAATCTTCTCAATCATATCTAGATCGAAATGATCCAAACACCGGAAATCTGTTTCTCTCGTTTCGAGCCTAGTTGGCTGGAATCACTTGAAACCACTTGATGAGTCCAGTGACAAAAGAGAAAAATGGTTATCTGATGTATTACATGACTTCGATTTAGCTGGTTAGTAAGTTAGGGGCACTACTGGTTGGAGTGAGTGGTAAACAACTACTCATCTCAAATAGTTAGTAATAGTATGTAAGTGTTGAGTCTAGACTTAAGATAGTCCTCGATATCACCACACTTACTAAAAACTTCACCGTCTTATGACTTTACGAGTACTCTACCTAACGTGTAAGTACTGATTAACTCAATCAAAGTTTAAAAGCTAACAATGGAAAGAATTCTTAGTATGAGTTGTATTTAACGTAACTGAATAACAGATTTAATAAATAAAGTGACTGTACAACTTAGCTGCAGACGTTGCTGGAGGTAGGCTCGGAGAGTGTGCAGAAAGAGAGCACAACAAGAGAGCGAACCAATGAACGTACGGAAGACTCACAACTCAAAAGGTAAAACGTGGATCACCGTGGGTGAGTCAGTTTAAACAAAAGTTCAAAGGTACAATGTGCACTACAGGTTATCCCCCCCTAGAAGGTTGGTGGGAAACCAGCAAGCTTCGATATACAAAAGTAGGATGGCTTGGCACAATAGCAATGAGTGAATGAGAAGGTTTGAAAATAGCAATAGTAAAAAAAGAAATTTTACCGAAAGGAAAGAAAGCAAAAGAAAAGAAAAAAATTAAGGTAAGTTGGAAGTGGTATGTACATGATTAGTGAAGTAAGACGGAATATGATAAGAAATGACGCTGGTGCCTTGTGTGGTTGTAAGCTTCTGCGGTCTGATGTTGTTTTTTTTTTTAATTTTTTTTGTTCTTTTTTTTTCTTTCATATTTTTATTAATCTTTTTTTAGTATTTTTTTATTGTATTGGTATTTATCGATCCGTTTTTTTTAATTCCGCACTATTACAAGCTTACTTATGTGGAGGTTTGATGGTAAACCTCCGCCGCCGAGGCTGTCGTAGCAAGAAGGTGACTCATTATGTCTAACTTTCATATTAGACCAATGCTCCCTTCCTCCGCTTCAACAGAACCTAGCAGTCATGTTAAAGGCAATCATTATACCAGCGTATGATAAGGAGCAGGGTAAAAAAAACAACAGAAGAAAATGGGAGAAGAGGTTAAGATTTCAAAATCGGTGTAAAGGTACTACAAAAGCTTGTGCGAAATCAATGCGAGGAAAAGTGGTGCAACTTGGAAGTAGTACGTTAGAATGAGATAAAACAAAGGAAGTTTCTACCCTGTGAGAACTTATAAAATTACAGAGAAGTTAGTACATAACCAATAGCTATGAGTAGTTATCATTACCAAAATTACTTTGTTCATGTTGCTAAGTGCATACTAAGATGATGCATAATGTTTATAAGTACGGTTCACAAAATAAATGAATTGCAGGAGGGCATAAACCCGAAGGAATATAGTACAGGCTGTGAAAATAAATTGAGCGGATTACTATGTACAGCATAGAAGTGAAGCATTTATGCGCAAAAATATGTATATCTGTCCATTTAACTATACAGTGGAAGTTTTTTTTTTTTTTTTTAAATAATTTTATGGACTTTTTTTTATTTAAAAATTTTTTTGTTTATTTATTATTATTTTACATTTTTTACTTTTTTTCTTTTCTTTTTTTTATAAATTTTTTTTAATAATAATTTTTTTTGGAAGAAAGTGGGCAGTGAAAGGTAATATACTGTTCATAATTCCTCTTTTGGTGTGGGTTACAAGATGACATGAGAAGCCAACTGATCTAGCGAGTAGATTGAGATGAAATAGATGAAAAATTAGGGTAAAAACACTGCTGCTGGTCCTCTGTAACGAGAGATAAAGATTAAAAGGATTAGTGAGGGTAAAACGACTACTCCCAGAAGCGGGACCAAATAGATTAAATATAGCAGAATTGAATAAGAAATTGTGACAAGGAATAAAAAATCACTAGTAGCATTACCTATGGATTAGTTCAGTGAAAGAATTCTACGAACCTCTTGGGCCAGTGAACACGTCGACCAGCACGTGTGACAGGGGTCTTACTGGTGACGGTAGGAGAATCATCATTCACCACTGGAGGTGAGGTAGTTGAGTCTGGACAAGGACTAGGTTCAGTGGGGCTATTTGATTGAGCCGATGGGGAGGGTGAAGGTTCTTCAGTGTATGCCGCTTTAAGTCTGTCTATGCTGACAGTGTCTGGGCGGCCGCATCGGTCAATAACGAAAAATTTATCTTTACGACTAAGGACCTTAAAAGGCCCGTCATACGGTGGTTGTAATGGCTTTCGTATGGCGTCGTGACGCACGAAAACGTGTGTACAGTCATCAAGTCGCCGATCAACCTGAACCTTTCGGTTCTGAGTGCGTGTGGAAACTGGTCGGAGTCGCTGCATAAAACTTTTAAGTTGCTGAGCGTAACGGGTGGTATCGGGGAAATTTGGCTCGAAAGTTTCGGGAGCGATTAGCTCGCCTGGTAAACGCATGGTGGTACCGTACACCAATTCAGCTGGCGAGCACTGCAGATCCCCCTTAAGCGTAGCCCGGATGCTAAGCAGGACCAGTGGTAGCGAATCTGTCCACTTACTGTTGTCCACTGCCATCAACGCAGCTTTGAGTTGACGGTGGAAACGTTCTACTAGGCCATTTGCCGCGGGATGATACGCGGTTGTGCGAATGCGTTTGCATCCCAGCATCTCTAACAATTCTTTGAAGCTTGTGGATTCAAATTGTTGTCCGCGGTCGGTAGTGACAGTTGCGGGACATCCAAAATGGGCAACCCAGCCATCCATGAAGGCACGACAGACGGTTTGAGCCGTTACATCTGGTATCGGAATGGCTTCCGGCCAACGTGTGAAACGATCCACACATGTGAGTAAATACGAGCAGCCGTTAGACGGGGGCAGAGGCCCTACTATATCCAGGTGGATATGATGGAACCGAGCGTCTGGGGTCGCAAACGTCCCCAACGGCGTGATGTTATGCTTGGTGACTTTAGCACGTTGGCATTGCACACAAGCACGTGTCCATTGACGCACATCACGGTTCATACCGGGCCACGCAAATCTCGCAGAAATCAACTTGTCCGTTGCTCGTATGCCAGGATGGGAGAGGTTGTGGAGTGACTCAAACACAGTTCGGCGTAAAGACGTGGGAACAATCGGTCGAGGAGTACCAGTTGACATATCGCAAAGTATAGTTGCCTCACTGTTTAGCAAGGGGACGCGTTCTATCTTCAGTGAGGTTTTATTTGACAGGTGTTCTAAGTTCAAATCGTTCAGTTGGAGTTCGGCCATTTTATGAAGATCGATGGTTGGTGGTACGGACGTAGCACATACGCGAGACAAAGCGTCTGCTACCGCGTTATCCGATC